CAATGTGTTGTGTTATATATTGCGCAACATCCGGCTTATTGTGTTGTATATTGTGTCTTATATCCAACCTATAATATGTGTTCCCCAAAGTTACACTAGTGCCATTAACTAACTAGTCAATATATAACTAAAACAATGATAATTTTTCAAAAGGGGAAACAGATCAAGATTTTACAAAGAAGCGGTTGCTGCATACACAGGTCAGGTTTGAAATACTGGGAATAATGGATGCCATTTATTAGCAAATTTCTTCATTTTATTGTTCCTTTTGGCAATGAAGCTATCAACAGAAAAAATATCTTTTAAAGTCTTTATAAAGTTATTGCATTTTGGAATATTGTTTTTCAAAGAAGAGACATAGATCTGTCTTTTGCTGAAATGATTATATGATTAAGTAATGGGTTTTACTTAAGGAGCCAAAATACACCAAATATTTTGTCAAATTGACTTTTTGTATCAAATAAGTGTTAATCCAAATTTGAAGATCCTTCCAAAACTTCTTAGTTTCACTACATTCCCAGTAAACATGGCACAAGTTTTCATCTTCATCTTTACAAAAAGCTGCATGAGGCGCTCTGGATAAGGTTCATTTTAAAAGTTCCTTTTTTGGTATAGATAATACCGTGTAAAATTTATATTGGAACTCTAAGAGTTTTACATCATTAATGTCTTGTCTGTAAGACTTAAAAATCATTGGCCAATCAAAGTCAGTATCTTCAAACACATTCTCCCATTTATGACACATATGAGGGTTATTATTGTTAAATAACAATATATCATAAAATAATCTTGATCCTTGTAATGATTTCATAAAATTCTTTTGATAGGAGTTAAGATTCATGTCATAGTTATTTATACACCTGTGATTTGTTATTGTATTCTTCCATGATTCAGGTATATTATTTAGAACATATCTATGATCTAATTCTGTCCCTTTTATTGCATATTTACTTTTAAAGATTCAAAGACATCAAACCTTCTTCATCACACATGTCTTTGATGGTTAATAGTCCTTTATTTGCCCAATGACTGATATAATGAGTTTGGTATTTAAAATTATGATTAAACCATAATGGCTGTGCTAAAATTTCATCAATGTTGTTTTCATCTATGGTAATGTTAGTACAATACATGTTCCATGCTTTTAAAACATCTTTCCAATATGGATTATGAATATCAGCAATAGTATAGAAGTTAGCACCAAATTTCATGATATCATGTAATGGAAAATTGCATGGATTACATATTGATGATTTTCTTAAATAAAGTCTCAAAGTGGATAGTTTCAAGGCATTGATAAAGGTTTTTATGTCGATCATTCTTAACCCCCCATGTATATAATCTTTTTTCAAGGTACTTCTCTTAATTTTGTCAGTTTTGTCAGTCCAGATGAATTTGAAAAATATTTTATCAAGGGAGGTAACAAAATCTTGGGGGTGGTTTGGTAAAGTATTGAAAATATGAACTAATTTTGACATAGCTAGTGTCTTGATAACAGTGATTTTGCCGATTAATGTTAAATGTCTTTTTCTCCACACTGCCAATAATCTGTTAATTTCCTCTAGTTTTTTCTTTGTATTGATGATCCTTCAGTTCAGCATTAAGTATAATTCCAGGAACAACAAATTCATTTTTTCGCCATTCAATATTCAAATCCTGACATAGTTTATCACCACAACCTGCTTTAGATCCAATCCAGATAGCTTTAGTCTTATCAATATTTATTTTTAGTCCTGACATCCTATAGAAAGTATTAATTGCATCAACAGCAGAATATAGACATTTTTCTGTACCATCTAAAAACAACTCAGTATCATCTGCATATTGTCCTAATTTATACTCTGTATCATCAATTACTATACCTTTGATATTTTCATTTTGTCTTATCATGCATCCAAGGATTTCAGCTACAAAAAGGAAAAGATATGGTGATAACGGATCCCCTTGTCTACAGCCCCGTTCATTTGAAAAGAATTCTGAGAGATGTCCATTTTGAATAACACAAGAAGTTGTATTATAGGTTAGGATATTTATCCACCTAATAATTTGGGGACCAAAACCAAACTTTTTTAATACCAAATTTATAAAATCTTTAGAGACAGTATCAAAAGCCTTTTCAAAATCGATCAAAATGAATAAACCTGGGATGTCTCTTCTTTTTGTCTCAAACATAATGTCATAGAGTAATCTTGTGTTTTCGCTTATATTTCTACCAGGTATAAAACCAGTATCATTTTCATGTATAAGAGAGTACAGGGTTGTTTTTAACCGATTAGAAATACAAGTACTTACTATTTTATACAGTGAATTCAATAAAGTTATTGGTCTCCAGTTTTTTAAAAGGGTTCTGTTTTTATCTGGCTTGGGTATACATGTAATAACACCTCTTTTCATTGTGAAAGACATTTGATTCTTATTAAAAATTTCTTTAATAAATCTATAGATCCAATATTTAAGGTCTTTCCAAAAATATTTAAAGAAATCTATTGGAAATCCATCTACACCAGGGCTTTTGTTATTTTTCATATGTTTAACAGCCAATGTTATTTCTTCCATGTCAATATCTTTTTCTAATTTGTTTCTAAGATGGCCAGTTAAAGTGGGAGTTACCACATCTTGTAAACAAGTTTCATCCTCATATTTCCTGCCAGAAGAGTAAAGTTGTTTGTAAAATGTTTTTGCTTCATTTAAGATAGAAAAGCTGCCAGTAATTTCGTCATTGTTATCCGTGACAATCTTATTAATTGATTTGCTGACACAATTTCTATTTTCTAGGTTGCAAAAATACTTGGTTGGCTTTCTCCCCTCTTCATACCATAAAATTCTGTTTCTGAACTGTATACCCCTTATTCGTCTTCTTTAATTTGTTGTAGTTCAAATTTATATTTTGCAAGTTCAGATAATAAATTTTCATCTATAGTTTGAAAGTCCTTTCTTATTGGTTCTTCATAGTCTTTAATTTTAGTTTCTAATTCTGTGGTTTTATCAATGGTTTTCCTTTTTAGAAAGTTTGAATATGAAATTGATTTTCCCCTAACATTCATAAGGAAGGTTTCTAAAAAAAAACTATCATCAATCTTAAGTTTTATATTAAGGTCATTAGCATTTTCATCATATACATCAATATCTGAATATTCTTCAACTGTGTCCTTTAATATGGATCTAACAAGTTCACTATATTCAGGTTGTAACAATAAAGACGTATTAAATTTCCAATATCCCCGCCCTCTTTCTTGGTTAATAGTATTTGAATTTGAGAATAGCCACATTTAGTGTTGAAATACATTCAACCACATGGAACTGGGACTAGCCACATGATAGTGTTGAAATACATTCAACCATATGGAACTGGGACTAGCAACACGATAGTGTTGAAATACATTCAACCATATCGAACTGGGACTAGCCACATGACAGTGTTGAAATACATTCAACCATATTGAACTGGGACTAGCCACATGATAGTGTTGAAATACACTCAAATGCATCGAATAGAGAATAGCTATCTTTAGTGTTGAAATACAGTGAATTATATTGAATCGAAAATAGAAATAACTCAAATGCATCGAACTGAGAAAAGCCACATTTGATGTTGAAATATGTCAGGGTATCGCATTGTCGCACTTTAGTTAATTTTGCAATTTTTTGCTTGTTTTCGTCACGGCGACAACGCGACAATGCCACAATATCTCTTCTATGAATCCATAATTGGAAGGATTTTGACTCTAATATTTACACAATTGACAGACCTTGATACAATTTATTGCGCAATTTATTGCGTGTAAGATTCTACATTAGTTTGGGTCTTGGGGGTTTTAAAAAGAAAAGTTAACATATTGTACACATATGGGGAATCGAACCTGGGTCTTAGGCGTGACGGTCGAACGCTTTAAGAACGGGCTATCCCACCGCCCCGTGACACCTTGCGTTTATATGTATACCATCGAAGGCTCACATTCTTAAGGCGGTCGTATCTAATAAGTGATTGGTAATATGTTACCATTTCAGAATCTTCTGGTTATACCGACACTGTTGTCGACTTCGAAGATAAAACTGCTTCTGCTTATGGGTTTAGACACCCGTAAATGTTATTCGCAACAAAAAAACGTTAGTATCACGTTCTCATTTGGACTGGTTATCTGCTGATAATCGAGACTGGGTTATTTCTGACCTTGACGTTTTGTACACATCAGAAGTTTGACCTTTCAACTCCCCAACTGTGTCCCTAATCTAAATAGAGGCGGTGGGGTAGATTTATGTGGAAGACCCGGGTTCGATTCCCCACATGGGTACAATGTGTGAAGCCCATTTCTAGTGTCCCCCGACGTGATGTTGCTGGAATATTGCTAAAAGCTGCGTACAAACCACACGCACTCACTCACTCACCTCACCTCACCTCACCGCACGCACGCACGCACGCACGCACGCACGCACGCCTGCCAACCCAAATATGTTTAACACATTTCAATATTGATTTTCTAATTGATAACAGATCGCTTTGATAAATACGTCAGAATGAAGGAATACTCTGGAAATGGACAATGAGTATGTCACATTGTATAAGTCAAACAGACATATTTGATTTCGCAAACGCCTGATGATGCTGGTGTTTTTTTCTGTTCAACTGCGTCTTTATCATCTTTATCATTGCAGAACTGCCGCATATGCTTCATAAAATACTCGTAGAAACAAATAAGGGAACACATGAAAGTACAAGTGTTCCTATATTCATTTCCAGAATTTTACCAACAGTGCAATACATACCTTGCGAAGAAACCTGGAAAGGAATAAAGGAACACTTGTACTTTCATGTGTTCCCTTATTTGTTTCCATGAGTATATTATTACCATCACAGCAAAGTATAATGGTCATAAATCAAAGCGGGATAGACTAGTGGATTAATCAGAGCTGAGATAATCTCAACTGGTCATATCATTCAAGATTTGCGTTGAATTCACTTCTTATTTTATCCTCATGGGTGGAAAACAAACCAAGAGAAGTTACGCGACAGTTACGTGTTTATTTTGATCCTTGATGAGACTACAGAGACGTGATGACGACCGTTTTACAGGGTAACGGCTCCACCAGCTGCGGCCTGAGCGTTAGCCTGGATGATGAATAGGACCGTGAAGAGCTGAAATATACAAAACTTGTACGTGGAAAACTCAGCATCGTGTGATAGCATAATACAACTGATTGGAGTGAGTGAGTGAGTGAGTTTAGTTGTACGCCGCACTCCAGCTATATTGCGGCAGTCTGTAAATAATCGAGTCTGGACCAGACAATCCAGTGATCAACAACATGAGCATCGATGTAAGCAAATTGGAACCGATGACATGTGTCAACCAAGTCAGCGAGGCTGACCACCCGATCCCATTAGTCGCTTCTTACGACAAAGATGGGCTACTGAAGATCAGTTCTAAACCGGATCTTTACGGTCATCACTGCAGCTGGTGAAGGCGTGGAAATGTCCTTCGATGACAGTTGTTCTTGCTGTTGACGTATCGTTCTAAATGCCGTTCAAAGACTGTGATCATATTGTTAGCAGTATAAGACACAAATTGTCGAAAATTTGGATAATTTGCAAAGTTTCCTTGGACCGCGTAAATAGCTATGTTTCTCGTTGCTTTTGTGACCAGCCCGTGTTCTTCCGAATAATCCGAAAAGCGACTCGTGACCTTTTCGTGGCAATATTTGCGACTGGGTTCCCTCTAAGCGCAAATGGGCATTGCTAATAATTATCATGTCGTAGGACTACTTCCAATATGTGTTATATATCCCTTGCAGATGCTATTTTACACACATCGTACTTCAGTTCCTATGTTCATTGGTCTCATGAAAGCCAATTTCGTTTTCACGTTAACCACAGTCGTTGTCGCGTATGGAAACGTTGTAATAGGGCATGGCTTAGGCTCGGTGAAGGTGAGGATTTGCGTTTCGTATGACTGCTTGTCTGATCTCATTACAGTACCTACGACACTCAATGGTCAACGTCATCAACAGGAATACTGATTGGCGCCATTGTACCACATTTTAATCGCGCCATTCCCTTGCCCTATATTCATGGTGACAACCTTAGGCCTCACAGCTTGCAGCTTCCCCAATTTACAGAACAACGCCATCACACCCCAACAAGCCCCGATATGTACCCCATCGAACATCTTTGGGACAATCTTGGAGCTTGAGATCATCCTATTCAAAATATGAAGGAACAGACGTAGGCACTACACATGAGTTATACTTATTTATGTATCTAAAAGTAGGGAATCAACAGTAACGCTTTATATACCGTGTTTTTATACATCATACAATATTTTCTACTTACCTGAGTGAAATATTGATCAAACTCCTGTTTACTAACTTGGCCGTCGTCTGAAAAAATCGACAGCAGTCGGTTTAACCGTGAATAATATTATTCTAGGCAATGAATGCACGCAGAGAGGTGAAGTCAGTATAATAACAAAGTGTAATGTAACATTTGATGGTATGTCACTGTACATGCCGTACAGAAATGGTCAGATTCACAATATTCTTTAAAAAAAAGAAAGAATTTGTACAAAAGGTCTGGCGAACAAAATATTCACTCGATAAGAAACATTTCCCTTCCTGTTGATTCAATTTACCTTTCCATTCAACACATAAATTGTGAAGATGCCATTCAAGAGAAACTTTTGTGCTATAATCCGACCCGACCCTATAATACCTCAATACTATAAAGTTATAATATAGAACATATCTTAGAAAGTGAAATAGTCCTAACTCATCGTACCATTCTGGTCGATCTTCTTGAAGTAAAGGTTGAGATCGGAGGGGGTGATGGCTTTGCTTTTGTCCATGTCAAACTCAAGGAAGAGTCCTTTACCGATGGCAGAGAGACCAGCCTGGGTCCCCGAGAAACGGGACATGAATTCCTGTTCAGTCACGGACTTGTCGTCTACGGAATCAGAAGACTTCAATTAAAAAGGTTGTCGTTGCTGCAGCTGATGAGGTTGCTGCTGCTTGCATAGTCGCCACAGAGCAAACAGCGACTGCTGGGACAGTTGCAACAGCGCACACAGCCTCTGCTAGGACAGTGGTCACAGGTCACACACCGACTGCTGGGACAGTTGCCACAGGGCACACAGCGACTGCTGGGACAGTTACCACAGGGCGTAATGACGACACACAGCGACTGCTGGGACAGTTAACACAGGGTGTAATAACAGCACACAGCGACTGCTGGGACAGTTAACACAGGGTGTAATAACGGCACACAGCGACTGCTGGGACAGTTACCACAGGGTGTAATAACGACACACAGCGACTGCTGGGACAGTTACTACAGGGCGTAATAACGGCACACAGCGACTGCTGGGACAGTTACCACAGGGCGTAATAACGGCACACAGCGACTGCTGGGACAGTTACCATAGGGCACACAGCAACTGCTGGGACAGTTGCCACAGGGCACACAGCGACTGCTGGGACAGTTGCCACAGCAGAGACAATGACTGCTGGGACAGTTGCCGCAGCGCACACAATGACTGCTGGGACAGTTGCTACAGCGCACACAATGACTGCTGGGATGTTGCCGCAGCGCACACAATGACTGCTGGGACAGTTGCTACAGCGCACACAATGACTACTCGGACAGTTGCCACAGCAGAGACAATGACTGCTGGGACAGTTGCCACAGTGCACACAGCGACTGCTGAAACAGTTGCCACAGGGCACACAGCGACTGCTGGGACAGTTGCCACAGGGCACACAGCGACTGCTGGGACAGTTGCCGCAGCGCACACAATGACTGCTGGGACAGTTGCTACAGCACAGACAATGACTGCTGAGACAGTTGCCGCAGCGCACACAATGACTGCTGGGACAGTTGCCGCAGCGCACACAATGACTGCTGGGACAGTTGTTACAGCACAGACAATGACTGCTGAGACAGTTGCCGCAGAGCACACAGCGACTGCTGGGACAGTTGCAACAGCGCACACAATGACTGCTGAGACAGTTGCCGCAGCACACACAATGACTGCTGGGACAGTTGTTACAGCACAGACAATGACTGCTGGGACAGTTGCCGTAGTGGACACAATGACTGCTGGGACAGTTGCCACAAGGCACACATTGACTGCTGATACAGTTACCACAGCGCACGCAATGACCTCTAACGACGGGCACTGTAATAACGTACAACTTGTAAGGTAATAACGTACAACGTGTAAGGTAATAACGTACAACTAGTAAGGTAATAACGTACAACTAGTAAGGTAATAACGTACAACTTGTAACGTAATAACGTACAACTGGTAAGGTAATAACGTACAACGTGTAAGGTAATAACGTACAACTGGTAAGGTAATAACGTACAACTTGTAAGGTAATAACGTACAACTGGTAAGGTAATAACGTACAACTGGTAAGGTAATAACGTACAACTGGTAAGGTAATAACGTACAACTTGTAACGTAATAACGTACAACTGGTAAGGTAATAACGTACAACGTGTAAGGTAATAACGTACAACTGGTAAGGTAATAACGTACAACTGGTAAGGTAATAACGTACAACTGGTAAGGTCATAACGTACAACTGGTAAGGTAATAACGTACAACGTGTAAGGTCATAACGTACAACTGGTAAGGTCATAACGTACAACTGGTACGGTAATAACGTACAACTGGTAAGGTCATAACGTACAACTGGTACGGTAATAACGTACAACTGGTACGGTAATAACGTACAACTGGTAAGGTAATAACGTACAACTGGTACGGTAATATCTTCTTACGGTTGGCATCATATTCAGTGAAGATGGAGGACATGTCAGCTTGGTCGAATTTTCCGTCCTTGTTAGCGTCGGAGGTTTTGAAGAGGACGTCGACCTGGGCTTTAACGGTGGCCTGGAACTTGGCGACGGCAGCGTTAGTACTGGCATCGCTGGTGTACGCAAGGTGAAGGTCATTTTAAAATGTGTGTGTACATAAGGTTCAGATACTAACAAGACATAAAATTATTATCGAGATTCGTCGAAACCGTTCCTTTCCCACCAATTTACCACAGTAGTAATTGTCGAAGTAACCGGAAAAATGTTACACTTTTACATTGAGTATGAAATACTGTGAAAGTGACGCGCATAGGGAACCCGTTAAACCGGACGAAGCCTTAACACTTGGGTTGTAAGATAGGCGTTCGGATAATCGGGTCCCTAACCAGATGTCCTCACCCGGCGCCGAGGACAGCAGCAATCAGCGAGGACAGGATGATCAATACCTTCATGGTTGACTGAAAAATTGAATTTATAAGTAGAAATTCACATACACTGGATAAATGAACCATATAACGGGATCGGGTGGTAAGGCCTGAAGACTCGGAGTAGTATATACAATGATAGTCTGAAATCACTTCCAAGAAAGGCCGCTGTAAAGCTTTATTTCATAAATAAAGCTTTTGTCAGGCCCTTAGATCTCGCCGCCATTGTATATACTTCTTTTGAATCCCCAGTTAATTTCCTGGTCACTATGGTCGCGAACCAACACTTTCCTGATCATGTGATGGCTCTCTGTCGTGTTAAATATTTTGCTTGGGTGGCAACATTGTGCCGTATGGTATGACTAATAATTCCTCTCTGACGAAACCTCTCCCTGGCCTATCTTTCAAGTAGTACAAGTTCGGCTCATCAGCTTTGATGTCCACTTTATCTATGTTGTAAGTTTTGACTGACCATATCGGATCGGTGGCTCGTTTCCGAGTGTCCCCTTGCGATGGGCTCCAGCCGCGCCACGCCTGACCTTGGTATCGTGTTTGGCTAGCAGTTGTGACACAGCACCCATGAACTCCCGCCCGGGGGTCGACTTGCAGCTCTGTGGGCCATGTCAGCGGACTGCGTTTGTATATGCGTTCGAATCCGCGGAACATGAGGTCGGCCTGGTGGGCGCTATAGGGTACGCTAATGCCGAACCTTCTTCGAGGCACGTAGCGTGGTGCCGGTAAATGGATCTTCCACAGGGCTTGTTTTTCAAGCCACGCTTTGGCCTCATCCGGGGGGTACTCGCGCCATTTTGGTCAGCTTATGTACGGCGCTAGCTCCTTTCCAGTACCCACGCGGGCTGTAGTAAATAGCCTCAAACTTTCTCTGGTTCCGTGACATTGTGTATATACACCTATGTTCTTCGTTCAATTTTCTCATGCCCGTACGCGTACGTGTTGATCCCGTCGATGGCTATCCAACGCTTCGTGTCCATCGGCGACAGGGACGTCTTGTTTATCGTCAGTCCGTATATCCTGTGCCTGTCGCTTCTCAGCATGTTCATTTGATGCCTGAAGGTGCGGTCTTGAACAGGGCTTCCTTGAATCTGGCGTGTTTGATGTGTTGTTTCACCACATACTTCTTGACACCCTTCGCCTTTCGGATCTCACCATTGTCGGCCTTCAGGATGGAGTACATCTTGGGTCTCAAGCCTATGTACTCGGCTATGGGCGTGCTGGCACACTCGTCCTTCATCTTGCCGAGCACTTTTTTATTTACCGTGCTGTACATGGCATGGCCCTTGGGGTAGTCGCTGGTGTCACACAAATCGAGGCGTTTCTTCATGTCCTCGTACACGTCCTCGGTTCGAATGTCCATCAGCAGGGAATCCGTGTCCGTGTACAGCACTTCACACCTGTCGTCGTACTGCTTCTTGAGCTCGTTGTAGTAAAAGTCGTACATCAGGTGTTTGGATAAATCGAGGATGCTCATCCCCACATAAACAGGCCGGTTGAATTTGATGTGGCTTTTCTTCATCTGTAGGGCCACCAGGTCGTTGGTGAATATCTTGCTCCGGTTGAATGCCGGGCTGGCTATCAGTTTCTTGAGCTTGTTTTCCTCTTTCGACCAAACCAGCTTCACGGTCACGTGTTTCCTCAGGTTATCCATAGTCTTACCGAACACCGAGTTGTTCATGAGCTTGTAGAGGTTTTTCTCAAACTCACTGGTGGCCAGCTTTCGCAGGTCCGTGTTCATTCTGATATAAGGCTCCATCCAGGGGCTCTGGTCGAACACGAGCACCCTGTGTATTTTGGTCAGCCTCATACCCAACGACAGGTACAGCTGTAGGTTGTGATAGTGCACGATGTACTTGGTCTTATTCATTAAGTTGGGCACGAGTTTTTCAACATCTATGTTGGTACTTGGACACCCAATCCGGGTTAACCCTCAAACGTTCGGGGGCCAGGGGGTAGCTGTTGTGCGATGTGTGCAATGCCTTGGGGTATTCCAAGTCCACTTCGAGGATATAGCATTTGTTCGAATCCGCCGCGATGCTCATAACATCGATCTCAGGTGATGCCCATTCGAATCCCCCTGTGGGTAGATACTGGCTCATGGCCCAGCCGTACAGGTTGTTGGCATCGAGGTAGAGGATGTGAGTGGTTGGCTTGCTCGAGTCGTAGCCCTTCACGTATTGATTATTGGCTTTTGTATAGCATTTAGAGGCCATGGAAATCCCACTTCGCAATTCCAACTTAACTCCGGTTTTCTTCAGCAAGGTATCACAAGAGAGACCTGGGCTGGTGTAGAACCATGCTGGGTCGAGTTGATACTGCTTGAAACACGTCCTCCTAAACGTCTCAAACACGTGGGCTAGCAGGAGTACGTCTACTCTCAAGTACAGGTCGTGGTAGTCACCCAGATTCTTACAGCCCAGTTTATTCCATACGTTAATCGTGTGCGAGTAATCGTCTTGGGTGATTGTCGAGTCGGTCAGGTTGCTGTAAAATCGGTTGATGGGGGGTAGTCGGGTCTCGGCGAACTTGGTCCAGCCATCCATGTACTCGTAGGGGTACACGCCCTTCCTCATCAGGAGGGGTCGAGTCTCGGCGTCGGTGTATCGATCAGTGATGGGGAAGGTATCGTTGGCCTTTACCAGACTGTCGAGTGATGACAGGAGGAACTGAATCGAGTCGATGAACCTCAGGCCATTCAGGGAGAAGGAGATGTATCTCTCCATGTTGTTGGGGATGCACGTCAGGTCGCACGTCGGGGGTGTTGACATCGGGGTTGACGCCCAAGTTTTGGCCTGCCGTGGCTACGACGATTTTGTTGTTGTAGCGCACCACTTTGTTGATTCTCAGTCGCATGTCGCTTGGAGCCATGTACAGTCCCACGTCCAACACGTCGTCGACTTTCGACCGGGCGTATTCCAACACGTCTTGGTAGCGTTGGATGGCACCTGGTAGATCGACCGGGGCAGCGATGGCATCCTCGACGTTGGACACGAACTGTTTCTGCGCGTCTAAAGCAGTACCCGTACCGATGATACCGGAACTCGTTTGATTCTGAGCGCCCAGCACGGCCCACACGTATGTTCGAATCGAGTCGTTCAAGCGTTCGATGCCGGCATGAGTAAACCCTTTCGACGTGTCCAGGATGAACTTTTTCCTGTCATCCGCTGGCCCCTGCTTGAACCTCCAGACTCGGTAATCTTTGCTGCCATCGAAAGCCATGTAACGGTCATCCCACTCGTTTGTTGTGATGTGATGGTACGACTTGTACCCCCATTCTTTCATCTTTTCGCTGGCTTCCACGAGGGGCATATTGTGAACGATGGGGATACCCAACCCGTGGTTCGGCACCGGCAAACGCAAATCCGTCTTCGGGTCTAGTTCGAACTCATTGCAATCGCGTTCGTAGGCCCGTCTATCGTACGGGTTGTTTACTGCGTCCCATGCTTTGTCCTGTGGGATCGGAGCGCTGATCTCTTTGAAGATACGTCTGACCTGGTAGTACATGTGAAACGTGAACACAGACCGACCCAGCGGACCCCGCCGAGTGTCCATCAACGTCAAGCCGCACCCTGTTGTAGCGCACCACATGGCGAAGTTGAGTTTATTCTGCCAGAACTGCATAGGGGTGTTGAACCAGGGGTGGACTACCTGAGCCTTAGTCACCAAAAGTTTATACCGGTCGAACACATCTATAAACTGGGCGCCAAAATACAACCCAGCAGCGTCGACCATGATCTTCATGTGCGGGAAATCTATGTCCAGTTTAGGGTAAAACACTCCCGGTTTGTACATTTTAAAGTATTATATGATGGGTATATATACTCTAACATGTACGTAACACTTCCAGGAATAACGAGCAACGAGTCCGTTCAGCTGATGCACGCGATCGATAACACGTCGGGCCAACTCGAAGTCACACTCTGCGATATCACCTACCTACCATGATGGACCAACATCAACGCCAGCAACAATAAGCTGTTCGTCAGTGGCGCCCGCAACCAGATAACTGACGGCTACTACAGCATGTGCTCGCTAAGCGACGAGGTCTTCAAACCCTTGGGAGCTGAACTCAAGATAAACGACTAAAACGGCACAGTGGTGTTAACCAACAACGGAATAAACCCCTTGAGGCTCGGCCGACCATTGGCGAGGACAATCGGTATGCCGCCTGACGAGATAAAACCGTCACAACTACCGTCACAGGCACGAAGTTATCCGACATAGTACCATACCGAGAGCTGTGCATTCATCTCGGTCAGCTGAGCACGATGGACAACATTCAAGGTGGTCACCCTTCCACGATACTGAGAGCTGTACCGGTGAAAACGGAGAAGTACAACGACGGCAGAACCGAGTCGTTTTCATCGCGGCAGTACAAGAGGTTAACTTGGGGCACCATCCCTGAGTTGGTAATATCGGTTTTAGATATAAAGCATAATCCTGTGAATATAGGATACCTCAGCATAACGCTGCACATAAAATGACTAGCGCACAAGGTCCCGGAATGAGGTTGAAAAATTGCATTAATGTAGGGATCTCCGACCTCGGGGACACACGCGGATTCGACGACCCCGGAGTAGATGGTAAACTATACGCCTTGCAGCTTAAAAACAGCATTGAGAAACGCGCTGAAGTCCCCTCCATCGGTAGAACCCTAGGTGATATAGTAGATACCTCAGGAGCGGCCCTCAACACTCGGTTCGATCTAGTCCGCATCGGTGACGATAGATGGTCGGTATACCCATCGTTCGGAGGCAAACTGTTCGACTTAGAAGATGTTGAGAGAACAACGGAACCCTGCTCGTGGCTTACATCCTGACGCAGAGGCGTAGCGTAGTCATCAGCCCAGTCTCCAGTATGGCAGCCCACATGGTGTCGAGCAAGCCCGGGATGCAAAACGTGAAATTGCAGTTGGTGTCTGAATTTGAAGGCGTGGTCAACATCCTGGAGAGTCTACCGGCGAACTCCACACTGGTCATCCATGTCTACCTAGGTGAACCACAGCGCGAAGTCGAAGTCGTGAAGGGGATTAAACTCCGGTGGGGGAAACAACACCAGTATCATGTTTGCACTGTTTACGTGCAGGTGGGTGTTGACTCCCACACCAATCTGCAGGGGGTCACCGTGACCGTGGAAGACACGATATCCCTCACCAAGATCTTCCTACTCAACAACATACACTTCATGGGGGTGAAGTGCACCCCTGAAAAATTATCAGAAAAAATTGGAAACTATCTCGATATAGTAATATAACAATGCCTAATAATAGACCCAACATCACGCTCGATGATCTAGGAAACATAAAAGGGTAAGACTGGGCCGGCTTGGAAAACGCCTTGTACGTCCTATGTTTTGAAGACACCGTGTATAGGCGGGTGCCCCTGGCAGACTTCAAAGAATCCGAATGGTTGATCAACTTAACCCTCACCGCACCTTAAGTCTCTATAAACAAAAATGGGGCTGTCTCCGGAATTAGGAACAACGGCGTCTGGCTCACGTCTTTCATTCAGGATTCTGATAATGTAAGAGTTGCCCAAAAACCAATTTCCCAATACCGAATCTCCTTAGGCAACACGTTATATTCATCTGGTGCCTCAAGTTTAAGGGCCGACTATCCTACTAAATCCTATGACTGTGCACCCGGGAAACTCAACGCTCATCATAGAAGTCCTTATCGGAGACACTGCTTTGGGTTCCCACTGGCAAATTTTACATGGGTTGGAAATAAGTTATAAAGCTACATATGACAAGTTTGATCCTTCAGACAACCGTTGTCGTATCATCAGGCACGCGGAATCGAAACTCTTAGTAGACCACCCGATGGTTGATGTGATACAAAATCCACCTATTAACCTTTCCCATATTTTCCTGCATGAGAACCTAGCCATTATTAGCCTCAAATACATTAGGAAATTTTTACCTAGCAACCAATTAACATATATCTGGTAATATATATTATACGCACAGGATGGGCCTGTACCCAGTCGTAGAGGAAGTAGCGAAGACACTGGAAACCGTAGACGGATTCTGCTTGAGACAGTTATGTGATGTAAAACGCCAACTAGAACAAGACCGCGACACGCAGAAAGCACTATGTAAGAAGTACCATAGAGCTTTCAATATTGTGGATGGGGCTGATACTATCCTTACAACAACCAGCATCGGACTAGGGGCGGCAGGTGTTGGGTTGTTGGCCACCATCATGGCCGCACTTATAGTGCTAGGCATTGAAATAACAGCTGGGGTTGTAGGGGTGGTAGGGTTGGTGTTTAAGTTTGCATCCCGCAGACTGCATCGTAAGACATTGAAACACAACGAGATCAGGGTTCTGGCTGAAGCAAAGCTGAACAGGGTAAGTGAGCGTATTTCCACGGCACTTACTGACAGTAAGATGTCAGAGGAGGAGTTTCGTTCAATCCTCTCTGAACTCGACAAGTACCGTGAAACAAGAAAAAAGTACATAGAACAGGGGGTACGAAAAGCCAAGCAAGCCTTCATTACGAACATCAAAGAGATCATAGGCGATTCACATTAAACTGTTTCATTGAGGTCAACACGACAAAGAGTTATCAGGAAAGTGTAAGTTCGCGGTCATAGTGACCAGGAAGTTAACTGGGGATTCAAAAGTAGTATATACAATGGCGGCGAGATACTAAGGGCCTGACAAAAGCTTTATTTATGAAATAAAGCTTTACAGCGACCTTTCTTGAAATTGATCTCGGACTATCATTGTATATACTACTCTCGGTCTATGTATATCATCTATGTGTATGATGTGGTGGTATGTAGTCCTGTGCTGGGGTGGTGGTGTAGCCTAGTGGTTAAAGCGATGGCTCATCATGCCGAAGACCCGGGTTCGAATCCCCACATGGGTACAATGTGTGAAGCCGTGATGTTGCTGGAATATTGCTAAAAGCAGCGTAAAACCAAACACAGTCAGTCAGTCAGTCCTGTGCTTAGAGCTCAGGTCTCAAATCAGTTGAAGTTAAGCAACTTTAGGTGCAGAAAGTCCTCGGATGGGTGACCGTTTTTGGCAGCTTGACTCCTGACAGTTTCTAGGACTTCCGTCCTGCCCCGCATGGACACATGTGGTCACCTTAGGCAGGTGAGTTTGTTCAAAGTTGCCTTTGTTCACCCAGCAGAAAATTGGTACCCGGTGGGATAAGTCATGTAACCATTAACCTTCTAGGGCTTCACAGGTTATCCGGGGTAAAATTAATCAGATTGTTTTGGAGCTTCGAGCATGCATTGTGCATGGAGAAATGCGCATGACAAACTATTATTATTATTGTCTCATCCCAGTTGTGTAGATTGATGCTCATGGTGTTAATCACTGGATTGTCTGGTTCATACTCAACCACATAGCTTGAATATTGCTGATTTTGGCGTGAAGCTATAAAAGCAAGAAACCGTCACAAAAGTTCATTAAAAAGGCTACACGGAAATGGAATGCAATTAAAACAACGGAAAACACCGACCCAATACAAGTTAGTATATATGAAGCTATTTTAAGGCAAATGGGCGTCCTTTTTTGAATAAAGACACAGTTTGGAAACGAACTTGGGTATTCGGGTTGGCGAACGTTGATCAAAGGGCGACCCAACCACCTCAGTGGAACTTCAGTGGCTTGCAAAATGAAAACATTTACAATCTATCGACCCTGAGAATTTGGAACATCGTAATTAAAGTACCCTATCTATTGAAATTATAATTCTTGACCAAGTTCACTTGACTGAAACGTAGCTTGTTTCTGACCATTTACTTCAAGATTTGCACCTACATCTCAAGAAAATCAGTTTTAGTGAAGGACATCTCATGTTCATACCGTATTTTTAGACATACCGTATTTTCTCTTTCAGACACCCAGGCGCCAATTATTTCCGTCAAGCCGTTGACCCGGCATCGTTACAGCTGACTCAGTAGCATGTACTATCGGCATGTCGTGTCCAATGGCAAAACCCATACTCGCTCACTCGCTCATCGAGGGGTTGGAAGGTATTCTCAGTCAGTACCGAACAGTGGGGAAGTGTAACGAAGGTAAATTACACCTCCGTGTTATAACAACCGCACTATTGTGGTGCCATTATGTGAGTTCTGTTGCGGTTGCAATAGCATGCAGATGGAAGGACATAAACCTCCTTCTAAAACGGAGACTGCCAGTCTTTGATACGCTCTCCATCGACATGATGGGAACTGAAGGATTGGTAAAAATGGTGCTATTACAAAGAGAGATGTGTCTCATTACTGTCCGACATTAATTCTCTTAAAAAAGTGTAAACGTTTTAATGCGAGGTGGTGTAAATACTGTGAATACACAATGCCATTTAGAAAGTGATCATTTATGTTATATTGCGATTACTCTTTCTCATTAAAGCACATATTCCGGTACGTTTGGTAGGTTGTGTCCAATCCGGATTCCAACCCACACTCTCAAGAGTCAGGCACCTAATCTCCGGCACACAAATTCAGCCATCTAACCCACTCAGCCACCACGGTAAATGTAAATATAAACCAGTATTGCTTTACCGTTACCTGTGTTGGGCAGGATCAGATTTAACTGTTGATCGTCTAACTTGTCACGTACTGATACCGATCATGGACAACCTCAATACATCAACCCTACTAATCAGAATCCCTGCATTGAAACGAGGTATTTATGAATACATTAATTTGAACATGAATAAAAAATATACAGTTCTGTGTGTTATAACTAATAATTCGTTGTTATTAACTGGTTTTTGTTTGCTTTGTATTCGTTTAACGCCATATTCAGCACCATTTCAGCTGTATGACTGAGATCTGTGTATAATAACCCTACTCTACGGGGATGGTTGTGAACTGTGATTACCTTAGTGCTACGACTGGTTTGTGAAACGGACCAGGCAATCCAGTGACTGATATGAACAACATCTGGGTACGATTAAAACAGTCGACAACATCATTGACATTAAGTCATTTAAGTCATTTTTCGCAGCACGCATACCGTCACAGTGCTGGAATTAATTAACATCTTCTAATAATACCGTCACAGGTCTGGAATTAATTAACATCTTCTAATAATACCGTCACAGGTCTGGATTTAATTAACATCTTCTAATAATACCGTAATAATTAACATCCTAATAATACCGTCACAGGTCTGGAATTAATTAACATCTTCTAATAATACCGTCACAGGTCTGGAATTAATTAACATCTTCTAATAATACCGTCACAGGTCTGGAATTAATTAACATCTTCTAATAATACCGTCACAGGTCTGGATTTAATTAACATCTTCTAATAATACCGTCACAGGTCTGGAATTAATTAACATCTTCTAATAATACCGTCACAGGTCTGGAATTAATTAACATCTTCTAATAATACCGTCACAGGTCTGGAATTAATTAACATCTTCTAATAATACCGTCACAGTGCTGGAATTAATTAACATCTTCTAATAATACCGTCACAGGTCTGGAATTAATTAACATCTTCTAATAAATTGTGTCATTTACTTTTCAACACCAGAACAGAAGAGCTGGAAAAATCTGACCTCACCTTTGAGTCGGGGCAGAGAAAGTGGGAAGAGCAACGGAATGTCCAGGTGTTAAAATAGATAACGGTGCTATGAGATGTAGCTCACCTGGACAATCTTATCAGTATAACTTCTGAACTAATTTCTGATTGTTTAAGCTGAATAGGCAGTACACTCTGTGGTTCCAGTTGAAGGTGATCTCTTCATGGCGATAGATGACGAAAGAAACACACCTTAACACCGAGCAAACCTGTCTCGACGGGTTCAAACTAAGGAGTGTACATCGTACACATTCTGTTTCCATATTCAAAGAAAAATATTATAGCCTTAAAAGGGCCCCATTGTTACCAAGCTGTTTACAGTGATTCATGCAGGAAGAGTGAGTTTAGTTTTACGCCGCACTCAAGCAATATTCCGGCTATATGGCGGCGGTCTGTAAATAACGAGTCTGGACCAGAGAATCCAGTGATCAACAGCATGAGCATCGATCTACGCAATTGGGATACGATTACAAGTGTGAACCAAGTCAGCGAGCCTGACCTCACGATCCTGTAAGTCGCCTCTTACGACAAGCATGGGTTACTGAAGACCAATTCTAACCCGGATCTTCACGGGAATCATGCAGCAAGAAGTGTGGAAGCCACGTTAAGTGTACATGTGTTGATTTAAGGTTAAACGACAGATTTTGAAATATGCAGTGAATTATATCAACGATTGGACGATTATTCAAAACTCACCGTAATTACCTTTCAGCAGTCACTACATTTCACTGAAACCATTCACGGGTTTGTCTGTGGCAATCTGGTAAAAGTTATTTTCTATCTCATGTATGCTTCTACATAAAGGAAGCGTTGGCTCGTCACGCCGAAGACCCGGGTTCGAATCCCCACATGGGTACAATGTGTGAAGCCCATTTATGGTGTGCCCCGCCGTGATGTTGCTGGAATATTGCTATAAGCGTTGTAAATCCAAACTCAGTCAGTCAGTCTACATAAAGGTTAAACAAGAGTGAAAAATCGATATATCTGGAAGCAACCTCAAACATCATCACCATCATCATCATCATCATCATCATCATCATCATCATCATCATCATCATCATCATCATCATCATCATCATCATCATCATCATCATCGGAGCGGTGGGGTAGCCTAGTGGTTAAAGTGTTCGCTCGCCACGCCGAAAACCCGGGTTCGATTCCCCAGATGTGTGAAGCCCATTCCTGGTGTCCCCCGCCGTGATATTGCACCCTTGCACTCCCCGCCTGGATCCGCCTATGCTGTTCCTTAATGTGGTCCACAATGTACCATTGTACGTATGACTGGGGCTGTTACCAGAGTACCGTGATTATACCAGAAGAAATATTGAAGTTTCATCCGCACCTTGTGTGACCTGTTACATGTATGTTTTACGATCCATTTCTCGAAGTTCGTGACATGGGGAGTTAAGAAAGATACAAATTATCTCGACGTGAGCAAATATACCAAGAATAACATTCATTACCGATATTAACTGTTTTTCAGTTTTTTAGTTTTCGGTTTCACTGATGTTACCCTTTTTCGGCTTGTTTACGAGTGGTTGTGCGGTCCTGTGCATAGAGCCCAGGTCACAAATCAGTTGAAGAAAGCATCGTTGGGCGCGGAGAGTCATTGGATGGGCTGTGTTTGGCAGCTTGCCTCCTGAGAGTTTCTAGGACTTCAGTCCTGCCCCACAACGAAGCACACGTGACACATGTGGTCTCACCTTAGGTGAGTTTGAGTTTGTTAAAAAATTGCCACTGTTCACCCAGCAGTGAATGGGTACCCGGTGGGATACGTCATATGACTGGTAACCTCTTAGCCCCTCACAGGCAGCTTAGGGTATCCGGGGTAATAATGTGTTAGCTCCTTGAGCATACACAAGTACTTGGGAACAGGTGCTTTATGCATGGCTATTATTATTTCTTTTTTATTATTTTACAGTCAATGACTGAGCGCTGATATATCAATCACTATTTCAGTAATATCATTGCGTGTGATCTCGGTGTGGGGGAAAAGCTGACGCCGTGTGACGTTCATCACATTGTGGTGAAACCAACGAACGCAGGAGTGAGTGAGTGAGTGAGTGAGTACGCTGCTTTTAGCTATATTACAGCAATATCACGACGGGGGAGACCAGAAATGGGTTTCACACATTGTACCCATGTGGGGAATCGAACCCGGATCTTCGGCGTGACGAGCGGACGCTTTAACCAGAAGGCTACTCCACTGCGCCAAAGAACGCTAAATACATAAATACAAATAATAATTATCTGCTCCAATGAATGATGCGATCCCTCGATACAAGACGGACGCTACTGAGAACAGCAATGTTGGCACCATAGGCGACCTGGCCACCCAAGCGAATCTCGGTTCCAGAAATAGGGAAAATTGAAAACACATGTTAATAGCCATGCTCATGTCTACTATCTGCGATATGCGATATAACCCTACCTGACATTTACTGGCTTGTTTCTTATCGTACAAGGGCATAAAGTAACTGAAATTTACCACTGAAAATATCCTTGAAGCTCACCTGTAATGATGTTAAGTTAAACATTACCTGAGATCATGGATGTCAACGTCTTTATTAAGAGGAAATTACCGCATCATCTCCATACATTTCAAAACAGCAATTATGATAGAGATGGCTTTACGACGTTATATTCTAGCAATGCCACGTTGTGTGAGTGAGTTAGTGAGTGAGTTTAGTTTTACGCCGCTATTAGCAATATTCCAGCAATATCACGGCGGGGGACACCCTGTAAAGTATTGTCACGATTACGTGTGTGTGTGTGTGTGTGTGTGTGTGTGTGTGTGTGTGTGTGTGTGTGTGTGTGTGTGTGTGTGTGTGTGTGTGCGTGTGTGCTTGCATGCATGCGTGCGTGTGTGTGTGTGTCTGTGCGTGTGTATTTATTTTTCATGGATTTTGCTGTTATACATTTTAAGTGTTTTAACGTCTCTCATGACCGTCGATTAAGGTGGCTTATACATTTTATCTTGTCATATATTGTAGTTTAAACTTTGTAAATGTATTTGGTGAGACGAAATAAACAATCTCTCTCTCTCTTTCTCTCTCTCCAAACTTAGATACGCACTATATATAATTTGTGATATTTGGAATTAATGGTAAAAATATCAGTGTAGTATTCTGTGTAGTAAGGCTGGAGGTAATCACATACGACAATTTCGCCATCCGGGTTCGAATCTAATTTCAGGTGGACTTGGTTGTATGTTTATATTGTGTCAGTACATATATTGGAGATAACAAAAACTCTCTGATGTTTGGCATTTTAAGGCAAACCTACATTACACAGAACGACACTAATCTGACGGGTCATCTTTCTTGTTATCATTGTGAACCTGTTATCAAAGATAACACCCAAGGGACATGAAGCAAGCATCCCTTACCCGGAGATAGTGTCCAATAAAGCTGATACAGGGACGGCATCTAGCTGACCAACGGCGTGAACTGTACCACTGCACGACGTACGCAAACACTCATGCAAAGATGAGGTTACCACTGTACTTTTGCCTGGTTGCAGTATTAGTATTCAGAGTGACCAATGGACTGGACAACGGCCAAGCGCAAACACCACCCATGGGCTTCTTGTCGTGGGAGAGATTCCGGTGTAACGTGGATTGTCAGCGGGACCCTGATAACTGTATCAGGTGAGTTATCGTTATGGTGGGTGAGTGAGTCTGGTTTTACGCCATTTTTAGCAATATTTCAGTAATTTCACGGCGGGAGACATATTACGGAAATGGAGACACCAGAAATGGGCTTCACACATTGTAGCCATGTGGAGAATCGAACCAGGGTCTTCGGCGTGACGAGCGAACGCTTTAACCACTAGGCTATCCCGCCGACCCAGTTATCCTTGTGAGCGTGGGGTGAGAAATGCTTAACCAGATACATATGTAATGATTTCTGATTATTCTCATCGTCCACGTTCAAGGTAAAACTTTACTTCTTGCTGCCACTGTACGAGAGCGTTAACCCGAATGGGGATGTGTCCTTCGGGTAGCCTAGTGGTTAAAGCGTTCGCTCGTCACGCCTAAGAATCGGGTTCGACTCTCCACATGGGTACAATGTGTGAAGCCCGTTCCTGGTGTCCCCTGCCGTGATATTCCTGGAATATTGCTAAAAGCTGTGTAAAAATAAACTTACTAAATGGTGATTTGGAAGTGCGTGTCTGGTTTCATTCATTCATTCATTCATTCATTCATTCATTCATTCATTCAATTGATTAGTCAGTTAAACTCACTGACGTACAGAAACATGTTTTAAGCCAGGATGACCTGGGCCTCCTTTCACAAAGCACTAAGGTGATCGTAAGTCACTATGGTAACCTTAGTGCAATGTTAAAGAATGGGAGTTAAGGTTAACCTTAGTAAAGGTTGCTTCGTGAAAGGAGCCCCTGGATGTGGAGCAAAATACTGTCCGCTTTGGTGTTGTCAGCTTGAGTCGTAAAGTTCAATCACCCACTTTCCAATATCTGTACATGTGAATTTGGTGATTCTGCTGACTGGCCAGTTAAAGGGATATGGTCAAAGAGGTGTGAATTTTGAAAAGTTAATTGTGAAACGAATTTTAATTACATTTTGTACAGTGTTTCCATGGGAACACCTGTCAGACCATGTCTGGTCATATTGTCAAAGCTTTGAATAGCCTTCAGGGAAACGAGTAAGTTTTTGCCAATATGATGATATTTTATCCACGGTTTAATTATTTTCTGTATATTTCACAATAGTTTATATTATTAATCTATAAGGTCGTCGGATTCGGAAACAAATATAAAACTGATCACAGAACACCCGAGTGTATGGACAGATAGTCGTTTCCCGACTTCCCCTGTGGTATCTCTGTATTTGTTGGTCACCATGCAGTGAGAAACTATACCGAAGTATCGCCGATGTCATGGTGTCAGACGGCTACAGTGACCTTGGTTACGTCTACGTCAACATCGACGACTGCTGGTCAGCCAAGTCACGTGACCAACAGGGAAACCTCCAGCCAGACCCTGACCGCTTCCCCAGTGGAATGCTGAATTTGTCGACTTACGTGAGTCTCATTTCCATTGGATATGGTCGGTCACTACCAGTATTAATACGTCCCAACGCCCTTACGTTCCCCCTGATGTCCTACGAACCTCTGTTCTAATCCGGCCCTTTCATGGTGCGAATGTTCAGGATCATGATTAGTTGCAATCAGATTTAGTTGTGCAATCAGCAACGTTGTTTCAAAAGTGATCATTCGCAAGGCCTCGGTAATTTCCGTACGCTTCGGGAAAACTAGAACCTCTTGCCCTGCGCGATGCGCAAAGTTTCTTCTAGACAGAACTCAGTCATGTAATGGCGGATTAATGGCGTTTCCATCGCCCTCGTTGACAACGGACAAGCTAGCCATTAAATGTCCCCCGGCTGAGGAGGGATATTTGTGGCCCCACATTTGCTCGTAATAGTCAATTTCGATAGAAGTCGATGTAATTCATGTTCTGATTGGATAGAAGGAAGGGAGATAATTCGTGTTGCGATGTTTTCCCGCTAGGGGATTTTACGAGAACCGGGAAGTATGGCCATATTAACAGAGGTTCGTAGGAAGAACATGTAACCTCTGTGGGAAGAATATGGGGAGTGTTGGTCATAGGTGTTGATCCTGGATCATTTCTGATCCTAGCTGTTGGTCTTGGGTTATGTCTATTCCTGGGTGTTGGTCTTGGGTTATGTCTATTCCTAGGTGTTGGTCCTGGGTTATGTCTATTCCTTGGTGTTGGTTGGTTCCTGGGTTATGTCTATTCCTGGGTGTTGGTCCTTGGTTATGTCTATTCCTAGGTGTTGGTCTTGGGTTATGTCTATTCCTGGATGTTGGTCCTGGGTTATGTCTATTCCTGGGTGTTGGTCCTGGGTTATGTCTATTCCTGGAGTGTTGTTCCTGGGTTATGTCTATTCCTGTTGGGTGATTCCTGGGTGTTGGTGGTCTATTCCTGGTGTTATGTCTATTCCTGGGTGTTGGTCCTTCGTTATGTCTATTCCTGGGTGTTGGTCCTGGGTTATGTCTATTCCTGGGTGTTGGTCCTGGGTTATGTCTATTCCTGGGTGTTGGTCCTGGGTTATGTCTATTCCTGGGTGTTGGTCCTGGGTTATGTCTATTCCTGGGTGTTGGTCCTGGGTTATGTCTATTCCTGGGTGTTGGTCCTGGGTTATGTCTATTCCTGTTATGTCTATTCCTGGGTGTTGGTCCTGGTGTTATGTCTATTCCTGGGTGTTGGTCCTGGGTTATGTCTATTCCTGGGTGTTGGTCCTGGGTTATGTCTATTCCTGGGTGTTGGTCCTTTGTTATGTCTATTCCTGGGTGTTGGTCCTGGGTTATGTCTATTCCTGGGTGTTGGTCCTGGGTTATGTCTATTCCTGGGTGTTGGTCCTGGGTTATGTCTATTCCTGGAGGTGTTGGTCCTGGGGTTATGTCTATTCCTGGGTGTTGGTCCTGGGTTATGTCTATTCCTGGGTGTTGGTCTGTGTTATGTCTATTCCTGGGTGGGTTATGTCTATTCCTGGGTGTTGGTCCTGGGTTATGTCTATTCCTGGGTGTTGGTCCTGGGTTATGTCTATTCCTGGGTGTTGGTCCTGGGTTATGTCTATTCCTAGATGTTGGTCCTGGGTTATGTCTATTCCTGTGTTGTCCTGGTCTATTCCTGGGTTTGGTCCTGGTGTTATGTCTATTCCTGGGTGTTGGTCCTGGGTTATGTCTATTCCTGGGTGTTGGTCCTTCTGGGTTATGTCTATTCCTGGGTGTCCTGGTCCTCCTGGGTTATGTCTATTCTGGGGGTGTTGGTCCTGGGTTATGTCTATTCCTGGGTGTTGGTCCTGGGTTATGTCTATTCCTATTAGATGTTGGTCCTGGGTTATGTCTATTCCTGGGTGTTGGTCCTGGGTTATATCTATTCCTAGGTTGTTGGTCCTGGGTTATGTCTATTCCTGGGATGTTGGTCCTGGGTTATGTCTATTCCTATTCCTGGTGTTGGTGTTGGTATTCCTAGGTGTTGGTTATGTCTATTCCTGGGTGTTGGTCCTGGGTTATGCCTATTCCTGGGTGTTGGTTCTGCGTTATGTCTATTCCTGGGTGTTGGTCCTGGGTTATGTCTATTCCTGAGTGCTGTTCCTTCGTTATGTCTATTCCTTGGTGATGGTCCTGGGTTATGTCTATTCCTGGGTGTTGGTCTGGGTTATGTCTATTCCTGGGTGTTTGTCCTGGGTTATGTCTATTCCTGGGTGTTGGTCCTGGGTTATGTCTCTTCCTGGACATTGGTCCAATGTTATATCTGGTACTGAGTATTTGTCCTTTATCTCTAACCCCAGCGAGCTGGCTCATTTTCCCACATAATGAGAACGATAATGATAATAAATAATAATAATAATGAGAAGTCTTATATTGCGCTAATCTCCACGCAACAAAGCATGCTCAAAGCGCTAACACCCTGATTATTATTACCCCGGATAACCCAAGCTGCCTGTTAGGCGCTAGAAGGTTATAGTCACATGACTTTATCCAACCGGGTACCGATTTTCTGCTGGGTGAACAGATGCAATTTTGAACAAACTCACTTGCCTATGGTGAGACCACATGTATCACATGTGCTTCGTTGTGGGGCAGGACGGAAGTCCTAGGATCTCTCAGGAGTCAAGCTATCAAACACGGTCACCCATCCAAGGAGTGTCCGAGCTCAACGTAGCTTAACTTCAACTGATTCGTGACCTGCGCTCTGTGCACAGGGCCACACGCCACCACGATGCTGATTAGAAATAAATATACATTGTTTTTTCTCTCGATTATTTAGGAAATCTAAATGTTTAAATATGTATGTTGTGTTTAATAGTATAAAATAGTAACTAAAATAGGTGGAAAACTATCTCTATTATGAACCTTGAATACGAAGTGTTAAAAGTACGCCCAAGGGAAGTAACTCTGCATTGTGCAGACCGTGGAACGCCATCGCTTGGTATTTGCTATTGTTAATTGACGCTTACAGTTGACCTTGACCTTGTATTTTTTTTCAGATGCATTCACGAGGACTGAAGCTCGGCATCTACGGAGACGTTGGAACCAAAACATGTGGTGGTTATCCCGGCAGTCAGAACTTCTTGCAGCAGGATGCACAAACCTTCGCCAAGTGGGGAATAGATCTTCTGAAATTTGATGGTTGTCACAGCAGTCGCCAGAACCTGGCCAAATGTAAGCCGAATTTAATGAAAGCTTTAAATCAGTGGCTGCTCGCTCCCTACCTCCCTCCCCTCTGTCTGTCCGTCCGTCACTCACTCACTCTCTCGCAGAACACCATGCGCTTATGTGTTGAAGCCGGGTTGAAGTTAAGAATTCAAAATTCACAACCGCCTCCGTGGTGTAGTGCGGAGAGCGGAAGGTCGCGGGTTCGATTCCCGCACACGTCATACCAAAAGACGTTAAAATATGGTACTTGTTGGTCCCTGCCTGGCGATCGACATTTATGGGTACCACAGGGACAGGTAGGTTCGGCGTCCATATAATGTGTCTGAGTGGGGTATTCATGCTCAACTGCAGCATGGTATCTCAGTGGGCTAGCACTATAAAACCAGCTTAAGTCGGGCTAGTACAAGCAGCCATACATGCACGCACAAGCGAAATCTTAAGTGCGACGTTAAACCCCATTTCACCTCACCTCAAAATTCACATGGGTGTAAAACATGAAACTATTGATTCACACCGTGTATGACATGCACTTTTTTCACTTTTTCACTTTCCAGCACACTGTATATATCCTGTAAAACACTGTATATATATACCAACACTGTATATGTTTTTGCCAAGTGTGAAGCTTCCACTGTAAATTGTACATTGTATTATGTAATATGTTTAATTGTATTTAGGGAGAAGGCGATCATAAGTGGTGCACTTGTGCCTAATCCCGTTGTCTTTTGGACAATAAAATATGTTTAAACCAAACACCGTCTATCGTCATATCGATTGCTTCTTTTGCTCAGATTACCCAGAAATGAGCAGACAGCTGAACTTCACTGGTCGGTCCATTCTTTATTCTTGCGAATGGGCGAGTTACGACATTCTTAACACGCAGGTAATGATAATGATAATAATAATAATGACTGAAATGTGCTATTTTAATATTTTCCTAAGATAAAACCAACCCAGGCAACGTCGTTTGTGTCGATTGGATAACACTGCGTTTGGAACCGTTCACGACGTGCAATAATCTAAAATCCGTTGAGGTTTTCTCAGAATACCTGATTTAGTTGTACATACATTCACAGCTGTTTTGTTTAGTCGTCGCTGTGAATGTCACTATTTAATGCTAAAACTGTTTTACCCTATTTTTATGCTATTACTGTTTTACAAAGGTGTGGATGTAGGCGTAGTGAAATATGTAGATGTAGTGGAAGGTGTACAGGTGAGTCATTTTATGCAATATCCCACCAATATCACGGCAGGGGACACCAGAAATGGGCTTCACACATAGTACCCATGTAGGGAATCGAACCCGGGTCTTCGGCGTGACGAGCTAGGCTACCCCACCGTCCCAGATGTAGTGGGAGTTGTACATGTGGATGCAGGTGTAGTGAAATGTGTCCATGTAGATGTAGTGGGAGTTGTACATGTGGATGCAGGTGTAGTGAAATGTGTCCATGTTGATGTAATGGGAGTTGTACATGTGGATGCAGGTGTAGTGAAATGTGTCCATGTTGATGTAGTGGGAGTTGTACATGTGGATGCAGGTGTAGTGAAATGTGTCCATGTAGATGTAGTGGAAGTTGTACATGTGGATGCAGGTGTAGTGAAATGTGTCCATGTAGATGTAGTGGGAGTTGTAGATGTGGATGCAGGTGTAGTGAAATGTGTCCATGTAGATGTAGTAGGAGTTGTACATGTGGATGCAGGTGTAGTGAAATGTGTCCATGTAGATGTAGTGGAAGTTGTACATGTGAATGCAGGTGTAGTGAAATGTGTCCATGTAGATGTAGTGGGAGTTGTAGATGTGGATGCAGGTGTAGTGAAATGTGTCCATGTAGATGTAGTAGGAGTTGTACATGTGGATGCAGGTGTAGTGAAATGTGTCAATGTAGATGTAGTAGGAGTTGTACATATGGATGCAGGTGTAGTGAAATGTGTCCATGTAGATGTAGTAGGAGTTGTACATGTGGATGCAGGTGTAGTGAAATGTGTCCATGTTGATGTAGTAGGAGTTGTACATATGGATGCAGGTGTAGTGAAATGTGTCCATGTTGATATAGTAGGAGTTGTACATGTGGATGCAGGTGTAGTGAAATGTGTCCATCTTCATGTAGTGGCAGTTGTACATGTGGATGCAGGTGTAGTGAAATGTGTCCATGTAGATGTAGTAGGAGTTGTAGATGTGGATGGATGCAGTGTGTGATGTAGAAATGTGTCCATGTAGTGAAATGTGTCCATGTTGATGTAGTAGGAGTTGTACATGTGGATGCAGGTGTAGTGAAATGTGTCCATGTAGATGTAGTGGGAGTTGTACATGTGGATGCAGGTGTAGTGAAATGTGTCCATGTAGATGTAGTAGGAGTTGTACATGTGGATGCAGGTGTAGTGAAATGTGTCCATGTAGATGTAGTAGGAGTTGTACATGTGGATGCAGGTGTAGTGAAATGTGTCCATGTAGATGTAGTAGGAGTTGTACATGTGGATGCAGGTGTAGTGTGTGTCCATGTTGATGTGTCCATGTTGCATGTAGTGAAATGTGTCCATGTTCATGTAGTGGCATGTGGATGCAGGTGTAGTGAAATGTGTCCATGTAGATGTAGTGGGAGTTGTACATGTGGATGCAGGTGTAGTGAAATGTGTCCATGTAGATGTAGTGGGAGTTGTACATGTGGATGCAGGTGTAGTGAAATGTGTCCATGTAGATGTAGTGGGAGTTGTACATGTGGATGCAGGTGTAGTGAAATGTGTCCATGTTCATATAGTGGCAGTTGTACATGTGGATGCAGGTGTAGTGAAATGTGTCCATGTTGATGTAGTAGGAGTTGTACATGTGGATGCAGGTGTAGTGAAATGTGTCCATGTTCATGTAGTGACAGTTGTACATGTGGATGCAGGTGTAGTGAAATTTGTCCATGTTGATGTAGTAGGAGTTGTACATGTGGATGCAGGTGTAGTGAAATGTGTCCATGTAGATGTAGTAGGAGTTGTACATGTGGATGCAGGTGTAGTGAAATGTGTCCATGTAGATGTAATGGGAGTTGTACATGTGGATGCAGCTGTAGTGAAATGTGTCCATGTTGATGTAGTAGGAGTTGTACATGTGGATGCAGGTGTAGTGAAATGTGTCCATGTTCATGTAGTGGCAGTTGTACATGTGGATGCAGGTGTAGTGAAATGTGTCCATGTTGATGTAGTAGGAGTTGTACATGTGGATGCAGGTGTAGTGAAATGTGTCCATGTAGATGTAGTGGGAGTTGTAGATGTGGATGCAGGTGTAGTGAAATGTGTCCATGTAGATGTAGTGGGAGTTGTACATGTGGATGCAGGTGTAGTGAAATGTGTCCATGTAGATGTAGTAGGAGTTGTACATGTGGATGCAGGTGTAGTGAAATGTGTCCATGTAGATGTAGTGGCAGTTGTACATGTGGATGCAGGTGTAGTGAAATGTGTCCATGTTGATGTAGTAGGAGTTGTACATGTGGATGCAGGTGTAGTGAAATGTGTCCATGTAGATGTAGTGGGAGTTGTACATGTGGATGCAGGGTGTGAGTGAAATGTGTCCATGTTCATGTAGTAGGCAGTTGTACATGTGGATGCAGGTGTAGTGAAATGTGTCCATGTTGATGTAGTAGGAGTTGTACATGTGGATGCAGGTGTAGTGAAATGTGTCCATGTTCATGTAGTGACAGTTGTACATGTGGATGCAGGTGTAGTGAAATGTGTCCATGTAGATGTAGTGGGAGTTGTACATGTGGATGCAGGTGTAGTGAAATGTGTCCATGTAGATGTAGTGGGAGTTGTAGATGTGGATGCAGGTGTAGTGAAATGTGTCCATGTTCATGTAGTGGCAGTTGTACATGTGGATGCAGGTGTAGTGAAATGTGTCCATGTTGATGTAGTGGGAGTTGTAGATGTGGATGCAGGTGTAGTGAAATGTGTCCATGTAGATGTAGTAGGAGTTGTACATGTGGATGCAGGTGTAGTGAAATGTGTCCATGTAGATGTAGTGGGAGTTGTACATGTGGATGCAGGTGTAGTGAAATGTGTCCATGTTCATATAGTGGCAGTTGTACATGTGGATGCAGGTGTAGTGAAATGTGTCCATGTTGATGTAGTAGGAGTTGTACATGTGGATGCAGGTGTAGTGAAATGTGTCCATGTCATGTAGTGGGAGTTGTATGTGGATGCAGGTGTAGTGAAATGTGTCCATGTAGATGTAGTAGGAGTTGTAAATGTGGATGCAGGTGTAGTGAAATGTGTCCATGTAGATGTAGTAGGAGTTGTACATGTGGATGCAGGTGTAGTGAAATGTGTCCATGTAGATGTAGTAGGAGTTGTACATGTGGATGCAGGTGTAGTGAAATGTGTCCATGTTGATGTAGTAGGAGTTGTACATGTGGATGCAGGTGTAGTGAAATGTGTCCATGTAGATGTAGTAGGAGTTGTACATGTGGATGCAGGTGTAGTGAAATGTGTCCATGTAGATGTAGTAGGAGTTGTACATGTGGATGCAGGTGTAGTGAAATGTGTCCATGTAGATGTAGTGGGAGTTGTACATGTGGATGCAGGTGTAGTGAAATGTGTCCATGTTCATGTAGTAGGAGTTGTACATGTGGATGCAGGTGTAGTGAAATGTGTCCATGTTCATGTAGTGGCAGTTGTACATGTGGATGCAGGTGTAGTGAAATGTGTCCATGTTGATGTAGTAGGAGTTGTACATGTGGATGCAGGTGTAGTGAATGTGTCCATGTAGATGTAGTGGGAGTTGTAGATGTGGATGCAGGTGTAGTGACATGTGTCCATGTAGATGTAGTAGGAGTTGTACATGTGGATGCAGGTGTAGTGAAATGTGTCCATGTTCATGTAGTAGGAGTTGTACATGTGGATGCAGGTGTAGTGAAATGTGTCCATGTAGATGTAGTAGGAGTTGTACATGTGGATGCAGGTGTAGTGAAATGTGTCCATGTAGATGTAGTAGGAGTTGTACATGTGGATGCAGGTGTAGTGAAATGTGTCCATGTTCATGTAGTGGCAGTTGTACATGTGGATGCAGGTGTAGTGAAATGTGTCCATGTAGATGTAGTGGGAGTTGTACATGTGGATGCAGGTGTAGTGAAATGTGTCCATGTAGATGTAGTGGGAGTTGTACATGTGGATGCAGGTGTAGTGAAATGTGTCCATGTAGATGTAGTAGGAGTTGTACATGTGGATGCAGGTGTAGTGAAATGTGTCCATGTAGATGTAGTAGGAGTTGTAGATGTGGATGCAGGTGTAGTGAAATGTGTCCATGTAGATGTAGTAGGAGTTGTACATGTGGATGCAGGTGTAGTGAAATGTGTCAATGTAGATGTAGTAGGAGTTGTACATATGGATGCAGGTGTAGTGAAATGTGTCCATGTAGATGTAGTAGGAGTTGTACATGTGGATGCAGGTGTAGTGAAATGTGTCCATGTTGATGTAGTAGGAGTTGTACATGTGGATGCAGGTGTAGTGAAATGTGTCCATGTTGATGTAGTAGGAGTTGTACATGTGGATGCAGGTGTAGTGAAATGTGTCCATGTTAGATGTAGTGGGAGTTGTACATGTGGATGCAGGTGTAGTGAAATGTGTCCATGTAGATGTAGTGGGAGTTGTACATGTGGATGCAGGTGTAGTGAAATGTGTCCATGTAGATGTAGTAGGAGTTGTACATGTGGATGCAGGTGTAGTGAAATGTGTCCATGTAGATGTAGTAGGAGTTGTACATGTGGATGCAGGTGTAGTGAAATGTGTCCATGTAGATGTAGTAGGAGTTGTACATGTGGATGCAGGTGTAGTGAAATGTGTCCATGTTAGCATGTAGTAGGAGTTGTACATGTGGATGCAGGTGTAGTGAAATGTGTCCATGTA